CTTTTTTTTTTTTTTTTTTTTTTTTTTTTTTTTTTTTTTCCACAAAGCGCGAAATCAAGCGAGGCACGAGGAGCATATCAGCGCGCGTGCCCAGCGAAAACGTCGGAACCTCAATCTCCCATCGTGTGCGCCAATTAGGATTGCCCTCGCTCGTACCTTCCTTACTGACCTTTTGCATGATAAGTCCAACCATGTCTAGTCCACTCCTTCATCCGCACTCCCTTTTCTTCTCCCTCCATCAGCTGCTCCCTAAGCACTCCCTCCCTCTCAGCGCTCTTCCAAAACAAGCACTCCAAAAAAGTGTATGCTGGCGGTAAATGTCTGCTGATGCCTTTCGAGCCGAAAAATCCATTGGAGCGCGGAGAAGCGGCTAGGATGTCCACTTTGAAACTGCGAGATAGTCGCAGGATGGTTCGTGTCCAGCTTGGAGAGAGGCAGAAATATCCGCTCGTCAGCGTCAAAGACATGCCTCGCGCTGGCGTGGAAAGAGATGATGATGAAGAGGATGAAGAAGAGATGGCTAATCGATTCATCCACTCGGGCAACAGCTGCACAAAACGAGTCTCGTCTCGAATGCCCAATGGTGCCATCTGCACCAACGGCACGATCGCAATCTCGTCCCTTTGCTCGCCTGAAGCACGGAGCTGCTCTGAAGTCTTGTCGAACCAGTCATGATTCAACTGAACAATCTCCGCCTTGGCCAAAGCTGACCAATTCTTCTCCTCCACCTTGCCAACTCCCCCCCAAACATCCGCAGTCGCATCATCTAGGTAGCCCGGTCGTCCAGTCCAAATCACCTCATAAGGCGCATGGTCTGCCCGCACTTCTCTCCTCAGCCTCAACCTTTGTGCTTGATGGCCCAAAGTCGTCTCATCTGCATCTGACTCGACGTCCGGGCTGAAGCGCGGATCCGAATTTGGTCTCGCTTCTGAGCTCTCCTGCTGCCTAGGCTCGATACAGCGCAGAGAGTACGAGTACTTTTCGCTGATGCGCACCAGGGAGCGTAGGTAAAGCGAGAGACCTTGCGCATGAGCTTGATCGAAGTGAATGTATCGATCTTGTCTGTTTGTGAAGTAGTCGGCCGAGAGGTTGGCGCTGCGAGAGAAGAGAAGAGGACAGGAGGAGCGTGAGCGCGATGATGATCCGAGCTACACGCGTGGCAGCAGGATGTAGTCTTGCAGACTCGGCGCTACAAATCATAATCGACCACCAGCAAAAGCTTGAGACGATCTGCACGTTCCTCACACTCACCCACTGATCAGAGCCCGGCCGTCCGCGAGGTAAATCTTGACGTGCTGCAATCCCCACCCTTCAACCAGCCTCTTCCCTACCAACCTCTCCATCCACTTGCTCAGCCCCGGAGCTCTATACAATCTCACATTCACCCTCTTCGATCCAAAGTCTCGCACCAAGGGCGATAGTAAGGAAGCTGCTGATTGCGAGCGAGCGTCTGTGGACACGTAGGGACCTTCGCGAGTGGAGCGTTGATAGTCTAGTAGGAATGTGACCTGTAGACGAGGATTGAGCGTCAAGGCAGTACGTAGGGCTTCTACCTGGTAGGGAGAGCAGGCGAGTGCAAAGAGGCGCCGCACAGCGTTAGCGTTGAAATCAACGAACGTTTCTACTATTCAATCTCCTCTCGCCTTGCCACCGAAGATTTTTCGATCATAGCATACATCCCCTCCACCAATCTTCTTTCCAACACCACTCGATGTCAAATGTTCGCCCTGCGCCGGCCTGCACTCACGATTTCACCCTCGTTGCTGCCCAGGTACAAACTCGCAAGCGTGACTTCCTCCTTGGCAGAACTGATCATCCCCAGCACCTCATTGTAAAATTCTTGAGGCGTACACAATAATCGTACATCTTCTTGTTTGCTTCTGAAGAGCGGAAGACGGGCGCTTTGCGATACGTGTCGCGCGAGCGATTCCGAGTGTGCTTGTGCTGAGTGTGATGGTGCAGCGGATGATAGGTGATGGAGAGAGGAGGGGGCGTGGGAGGAGGTGGATGCGGGGGTACGTAGCTGTCGATGGTTTGGTCGAGGTCGAGGTCGAGGCCGAAGCGGAAGCTGGTGGGGTTGAAGCTCGGTGCACAAAGCTTGCCGCTCAGACTCAGCAGCCAGATCTAGTCTGCTGTCTAGCCAATTCTGAGCTAGAGCCGGTGCGTAGGCAGAGCTTGCTCCAACTCCTTGCTCCCCTCCACTTTGCCCCGACCTTGCACTCCCTGCCGATGCGATGCTCCTGCGTTGCGATGGGCCAGGGCGAGGACATTGCTCGCACAGCCAGCAAAAAGCTCCGCGATAGCTGGGATTTCGTAGGCGAAAAAGCTGACCACACAGGTCGGTAGTGCCAAGCATCGCGAGAGGTCGTCAAGTGCACCAAAGCGTGGCCCCCGCCCCGCCCCCTCCTTCTTCGTCAGGTGCCTGCAATCGTGACTATAAGCGCCCAAACGGATGTGAGATGTGGCGGGCTTGACCCAATGATGCGACTTGCGTGAATAGCTGCAAACCGTCATGGACGGGTAATCGTGATTTGCGATTGTAGAAGTGATCATGA